TTATACTGAACAAATTCATATAAGCTATTTAAATACATGATCAATAAGTTAATTATGTAACAGTAGATTAAATTACCATAGTACATGATAATGAGTCAAGTAATTTTGTCTAATAACATGTTCAATTAAAATGGATGTGATTGGTTATAGACAATGATTATGCTGTTTTTATTTGCCTATACATCGCTTTTTCATGGACTTGATATTTGATTGTGTACAAAATCGATTATTATTATTATTATTATTATTATTAGAGTAAACAAATTATGTATTTTGTAAAATGTTTATTGAACAGTTTTATAACTTAAAGCAATTAGTCCCTTTGACAAATTTCGATTGTAATAAGACGAAGATTATCAGAACTATGTGATATATTGAAACAATTACTTAAATCAGTCATTAATAAAACGTATTGCGCAGGGGTCATTATCAAATGAAGAACAAGGTGCATGCTTCATATAAAACTTAAAAGACATGAAAACGATTGTGCCACATCCCACTATGTTTACCAATTTAAATGTGTGTGGTCACACATACATAGGGAGGAGCAATCGCGGTCTCAACATTAAGGTGCGTGAATATGTACCAAAAATGGCTGCAGAAACAAATACAATCAAGTGACCCAATAAGAGCTGGGGATAAACATCTATCATCCTCTATTGCTAAACATATAATTGAAACAGGCCATAAGATTAATCTAAACTTGGCTTTTGTGGTGTTGTACAAAAGTGTAAGAGGGTGTATACTAAGGTTTATTGAAGCCTTAGCCATACGAAAATTCAAACCCCTTTTGTGTATTCAAAAACAGTTTGTTCTTACCTTAAACCCACCCTGGTAATATTGGCTTTTTATCCAGCGTGATAAGGTTTCGAATTGTGTTCACACGTTATTATTACTCTTATTTTGATAATGCAATGAGAAGACGAAGTTTATCAGAATTATGTGATATATTAGCGCAATACATTTCGAACAATCTGATCACACATATACTTGTTAAGAGCATCTTGATCAGTAGGAGAGATGATGGTTCTATCCAACGTGCTATATACAAAAAGCCAACATGGACAGGGCAATATCTTAATTTTCATAGTCACTGCCCTATTCATTACAAACGCGGTTTAATAAAGAGCTTACTCAGTAGAATCAATCGTATCTGTACTAGTGATACTATTGAAGTCGAGACGAAGCTCCTGACTGATACGTTAGTGAATAATGGTTATCCCTTGAAGTTCATAAACCGCTGGAAGGGTTGCAATACGATTAGACCTATGACGCTTCTGGCACCCAAAAAGCGAGTTTATATTACGTTGCCATTCAGAGGCGACACAAATAATCTCATGTTGAAACGGAGACTTAAATTAGCCATCAACCGGACATTTTATGCAGCCCAACTTGTCATTATTGAAAAGACAAGGTCTATGTTTCACCAAAAGCCCAAACAGCACATAAGCGATTGTGTCACATCCCATTGTGTCTATCAATTTACATGTATGTGTGGAAACACGTATATAGGGAGGAGCAATCGTGATTTGCAATTAAGGGTGGGTGAACACATACCAAAATGGTTACAAAAACAAATGGATTCCAATGGTCAAATAAGATCACAGGATAGACAGACATAATCCTCCATTGCGAAACATTTGATTGAGACGGGTCATAAGGTCGACATCAAATCAGCATTTGTAGTGTTATACAAAAGCCTTCAAGGATGTATACTAAGGTTTATTGAAGCCTTGGCTATACGGAAACTAAAACCCCCTTTATGTGTTCAAAAACAATTTGTCCTTACACTAAACCTACCCTGGTAATACTGATTTATTATCCAGAGTGGTAATCACATTTGTTTTTTTTGTACTTTAATATTTTTCCTTTGTCATGACTTACCCTTAACCTGTCTAGTTGACCTTTTATTTTTATATATAAATGCTCTTAACAAGTATATGTGTGATCAGATTGTTCGAAATGTATTGCGCTAGTATATTACATAATTGCTTATGAAATAAGTATAAGTAGCATTAAATGATTTAAGAAACACAATAAATAATTAAAAAACAAAATTTTATTTAATACTGACCATAAATAAAATCGGTAGATTTAGGAAAATTTCGGTAATTATTATTTACTCTTTTTTTAATACTAGAAGAATACTTTTGAACCAATAAATTACACTAACTAATAGCCAGTTATTCTAGATTAACTAAATCAACTAATCATGTCTGTTAATTAAATAGCAAATAAAAAGGGAGTAATTATAAATTAAACAGTTGAGAATAATAATTGCAGAAAGTAATTAGATTCTAGCCTTTTGGTTGAACCTACCTCAAAATAGAAGTCATGGATTAAATCCTGTGGTTGCAAGATAAATACGAGATCGTGTATGCTCGCTGATGAGGAGTCCCATACTAGGACGAAGCGGCCGTCCAGTGCTTCCAGGTTTCCAACGGTGGTCTAACATCAGTCGATTCATGATCTCAAAAACTTAATTCAATTTACTGATACTTTAAGACTTAAAGTGATTTAGGTTACTTATCTATCTAACGGAATAGTGTATAGACAGATAAACCATGTACATCGTTATGTTTGTTTTCTTTAATTCTATTAACCATTTCGTACTCATTTTCGTACATTTAATTATTTTAATACTTACTCATTTGTTTTGTAAAGCACTTTTTCCCTATACTTTTCTATGTGTATTTTTATATTTATCTGTTGTTAATTCTTCATATAAAATCAAGTGATCGGACTCAAGCCACCCTCACTTGATTTTACATGAAATAAATATTCTTCCAGTACATTTTGTATTCAGCCATTTTATACAATCATTGAACGATAGGATTCTTTGAAGTATGGTATACAAAATTGAATAAAGCATTATATTCAACTCAGCCAAAAGTTATATTACGCATTCTATGGGATAGTTTTTGAAATAATTTATACTTAAAATTCAGTTGAATTTATAAACATACCTCCTGAATACAACGTTTATTAGTAATACATACTTCTAAGTCATTCATCAAGCATTTATTATTACTGATTTTCTTTATCAGTGGCTTATATACTTCGGTGAATATTATTGAAATTGTTTTATTTTCCTAACAAGAAGTGAATAATTCACTTCTACACATGCACTAAATGAGTTTCCACTGATACGTAAATAAAGACAATTAGTCAAATAAGTTTTTCCATGTAAAACTAGTGTTAATTAATGCACTTATTTCAGTGTGAAAAAAATCTAGCGAATCGAAGTACTAAAATTACATTTACAAAACTATTTGACACTACCTACAGCTTTCGAATACTGTTCAACTATGTCGGTAATGAAACAGTAACAAACCGATAACTGGCGATGAGTTAACCGTGTTTAGAATCAACTGAGTTTGAAAATGCAGACCATAGAATTTCGTCCGGGGAGTCGAAATGAACCGTACTCTCTCCTGAACATAATTAGGAAACGTTTATTCGTTTGTGAGCTAAGAAGCTTAAACTGCTGATGAATCCCAAACAAAGGTAAAATAATTCTTCGGTATTACCCAATTTTCATCGTTTAAAACTGAAGATTTTACAGACAGATCACATGTTGCTGCAAGGTAGCACAAATCATATACTGTACAGAGGAAAAGTGAGAAATTCAACTATAGACAGATTTATTATGGGTGAGCAAATTATTGCCCAAGAGAACAGCACATATGCCCTTGTTTGGACCAGTTCAATAACATATGTATATATGGATGAGCTTTCTACATTGTTAATAGGCTTTTAGCGTAAATCAAATAAATCATTCTTAGTCTTCTTACTCTTCCATAGCTAACTGGACAGTCATTAGGAAAGGTCTATTATAACTGATCTGAAGAAAAGAAAAACAAAATAATAGTTCTCAAGCACATGTCAAGTAATAGTGAAAATAATTTACAAATTGTACGTGATCATTAAGAAAAAAAACTTAATTAAAATATTGTAATTAAAAGTGACTATCTTATTAATAACAGACCAGTCTCACATTAAATTTATCAAGTAAGAAATAAGATAAGCGGGGAAAATGAATGAGCCATGACTATGCGAATATATTACATTGGCTTATTAAAATAACATAATAATTTCTTTCTGACTTATGGTTCGATACTTTTCTGCAAAACATTCTAAACCTATACTTTCTCAATCTAAATTTGAATAAAAAAGTCTCGATGAAGTGACTAGTGTTTTGTCTGCTTGACAATATATACATCACATACTCATGTTTCAAACGAACCAAGATTTTGATAAACATGCTTGAAGTTAAACGAAGTATGTCAGGAAATTTATAAATCAGTAACTTAAAACTGCCTATGGCTAAATTTACCTGTGTTATCTAACCATTATTTCTGAATAAGATCTGTTTGAAGAAAATTTTATTTATAAATCAACTTTGTGACAATAAATTCACAGAATTCCATTTATTTTCAATCATTCTTTTCTTAATTAAAAAAAAATCGTATGTACAAGTTATAGTCAACGGTTTGATTTGTTCTTTCAAAAAGAAACTAGCAAAATGTCATCTAGTAAATGAATCTTGACTTCGAAGACACCATTTGTAAGTTGGAGAAGTATTTATCACTACAAGACCTACGTAAATTAATGTTTTTACTTTAAGATCTAGTTTCTCTTTCAACTTTGTATATTCGGGTTGATCTTCACATATATCGTATACTGTTTAAAATTACTTATAATTTACAACTGATTTATTTCAGTCGAAAGTCAATTGCTTTGATAAGTACAGAAATATATTATACTGAACTACTTTGTTAATAGAATTATGTAATTTGAAGATAGTTTTTTGTCAATAACTGGTGTAAGATGATTCATCATTGAGTATTGGAACTTCACATAATTGTACATATATGATTGCAATATTGGACAAAATCTAACGACTTTAAGGTTTACAATAAATACAATACCATTAGGCTAATAATTTTAAATAATAAGGTTCATAAAATTAGGAAAAAAAAAAACAAATTTAATGAGTTTAAATCTGTCTATAAACCATTAGTGATTTCATCTAAAAGTAAAATAATCAATTCTAACACCATTAACATTTTTATGTAGACAACTGTATGTCCTTTCTGTTTCATTCAGTTACTTGTGCAGTTGACTTCTCAAGTGTTTATTATGACGGCTTTAGTTATTATTATTATTATTATTAATATTATTAGCTTTATTCAATATTATATATTTGGTGCAATATAGAATTTTCAGCACAAAGTATTTCAACAAGTTTCTTACTTCTTGGTCAATCTTGACGATAAATATTAGCAGTTCGAAATGATGTACCTTCTTTTCGTTGAATGTTACTGGTCATCATGATATCTCTGATTAGACTATTTTGTAACCTTTCGTTTCATATTTTTCAGGAACACATCTGAATAGATTATGCAATTAATAGCCATGATGATATATTAAAACAAACAAACAAATTTAGATAACTTTTTGAAATATCTCGATGAAAGAAACAAGTAACCCAAATGTTCAAGGAAGTTGTCAGTTGTTCTTTTTTTCTTTTTCTTTAAATTAGAAATAATTGAACATATTTCAATTAAAAAGATAAAATAATCCACTCATTTCTACTTTGCTTTTTTCTCTTTTTCTTTTGTCCTTTTTTTATTTTAGATGAAAGTTAATTGAAACTATTCAATTAATATAATATTTATTATTAAGATTTATTATTAATATATCAATTAATTATTTATTATATCATTTTTAATTAATTTCTATATGGAAAAACAAACATATCAAAAAATTAATTTATATTCAAATATACAACAGACAAATTTTACATTTGATGTAGCTAAAGAAATTCTACCTGTTAAATTATTAATTATTATATTATATTCATTTATTACATTAATGGGTGTAACAGGTAATTTATTAGTTGTGTGGATTGTATTACGTGTTAAATTATTACAAACAATTACTAATATATTCATTGCAAATTTAGCTATTTCTGATATATTAATGAGTCTTGTAGCTACACCATTTACACCATTATCATTATATATGAATAATTGGACTTTACCTGAGGCTGTATGTAAATTATTACCAACTACTATGGGTGTTTCTGTTTATGTATCTACATTAACATCAATGGCAATTGCTTTAGATAGATTTTTTGTTATTGTACATCCATTTTTACCAAGAATGAAAGTATGGTTATGTTTTATTATTATATTTACTGTATGGATTATAGCTGTACTTATTTCAATGCCATTAGCTGTTTATCAACAAAAACATAAAGATCCTATTAATAATGTATCAAGTTGTCGAGAAAATTGGCCTAAAGAATCATCACGTGAAGTGTTTACAATTGTTAGTTTTGTTTTACAATTTGTCATACCTTGTAGTATTATTTCAGTATGTTATTTTCGTATAAGTTTATTATTACGCGCTAGATTACATACAAAAATTGGTAGTGGAACTAAAACACATATGAAAGAGGAACGTGAAATAAAACGTAAACGTCGGACAAATACAATGTTAATAGCTATGGTTGTAATATTTGTTATATGTTGGATACCATTAAATATTTTATGGATGGTTATGGATGTACATAGTGAAGAACAAATAAATGATGTACAAAATTCTAAAAATTTCAGTTTAATCTTTTTTATATGCCATTTATTAGCTATGAGTAGTGCTGTATATAATCCATTTCTATATGCATGGATGAATAGTAATTTTCGTAAAGAATTTCATCGTATTTTACCATGTTTCTTTTTAAAATCAAAATTTTATACAAATCAAATTACTACACAAACTATTGGAGGTGAATATACAGCTATACGTATAAATTATCTTAATTCAACAAATCAACCACCATCGACGATTCTTAAAACTAATGAAGAATTCAAAGAAACTAGTCAAAGTTTATCAAATAAATTAAATTTAAATCATAAATCACAACAAACTAATAAAATTAATCTTGATAATGAAATCAATAGCAGTAATAATATTAATAATGATAATAGATTTATTAGTCATATTGATGAAACAAATAAACAATGCAATGATAAACAATTGATACATAGAACACAAGTAATAATTTGTCATAATCCATCAAATGAAAATTTAAACAAAATCAATATAAATTTAAATGATCAAATAGAAATGAAAAACATCGATGATAATGATAGTAATGATGATAAAGTGCTTGAAAATATGAATTGTTCACAAATATTTATCCATAAAACAATTGAACCTTAAGTGAATTTCTTTTTTTCCGTTTTTTTTAAATTTGGCTCGAAATGCGTACAGATTTTGATCATGATAGGTAATTAAAACAAAGAATTATTTTCTGTTGAAATTTCTATATTATACAATATAAATGACATCTTTATGTTGTTTTTGACATGTCAGAAATTATATATATATTTTTAGTTTTCTTGTGTTTTTAGTGAATCTTGATTCAGTGACAAATGGAGTATTTCATACTAATTTAATATATCATTGAATTATTGAAATAAAAATAATTTTCTAAAACCTGCTTTTTTCCATAGATCATTAAATAAGGTTTATTGTAATGTTGACGGAGTTTTTTTTCTCTGAGTTGGATGGTTTGGTCGTGGAGCTTTCATTGTTCTTCCGAAGGATAACATCGGCACCAACTTCAGGTAGAAGGTTGGTCTAATAGTGTAGTGGTTATCATGTTCGCCACATACGCGTAAAGCCCCCGGTTTGAACCCGGGTTGGACCAGGTTAACCTTCGGTTTGTTGTATTATTTGACTATTTGTCGGTTCACAAATGAAATTAAAGGAGTCACTCGACAAAGAATAGAGAATATTATTCATTGGCTCAAAGTATAATATGGATAAAAGATTTTGGCTCCATTGCATACATTTCTTGAGAAATATTTCAAAGGTTAACCTCTTAAATAAATTAGTTTTTAAATGTAACAATCTTGATAACTTTTATGAATTCTATTAAATGAAACGTTGAAAATCTCAAAATCAACTCTGGATGACTTATGCGTTAGACAGTTTGTAATGTCTAAAAGATTACCTGGTATATCTTCAAGAGTAAGTAACAAGTGGCTGAAATCCAGAACCTATGCGTGTTTTCACAAATATGATATTTCATTTTTATGTAGATCATTGTTAGTGTATCCTGGCTGTTTTAAAACATTTTTTCTGACTTCTTAAACACTTTTATGGTGATCTAAAAGAGGCAGGCAGTAGGAAAGAAATTTGTATTTCAATGTTAACTTTTGAGAATTTTTTCTCTAATCAGTTTTTCTTATCCATTGAAATAACTAGTGGTTTCAGATGCTATTCCGTTTGTTATGATCTGATTTAATTAATTGAGCATTAGGTCGTTTTCCTATGATTTGAATTGACGTTTTTATAGTGTTTCAACGACTTAATAATACATTTCTGAAACTTTGTTACCTCATGAAACAGTTTTCTACGAGAATAACTAACTTTTACATCTAAATACATATTGGAATAAAATCTTATTAAATAGGCACAAAAAAAAATCAATCGTTTACATCAAAGTTGAATTGAATTTTACACTTGAAAATATTTAAATGAGTATTGTTAACTATTAAGAGTAATAAACAGATCAATATAATATATCTGATGCAGATATTCTTATCAAACTGCAGATGCACAAATTCCTTAATACGGTTTACATACTGTGATAAGCTTATCTCATATTCGAAGAACGAACTCAATATGAGTTTTCTACTCTCGATCCAGTTTTCAGTAGTATCAGTTATCTGTTTAAACTAATTCATTGCTGGAAACCTAATCCTTGTTAAAATATTATCTAGCTTCACCAAAACATATTGAAAATGATAATAGTCACGTTAGTTTCATTTTGTGTACCCTTGAATATTTGGTTGAACTCATGAACAGTGTACAATACGTTTGTTTGTTTATTGGCTGACTATATACATAGTTCTATTTTGGTTGTAAACTGTACCTTAGTGATCTGTTCTTGTTATCTAGTCCATGTGAAATATATTGTTTCATAAATCTCTGTATCTGACTCTTGATTTTGCACTATCCGATTACCGGTGAACTAACAGTATTCGGGTCTTTAATTATTACGAAGTAGTTTTAAACAATGGCCGATTGGAGTCAAGCCTAGGTAAAACAAACCTCAAATAAAATATTGAAATACACTTTGGAATATGGTTCTGTCAAGTTGACACATTTTATTAATCCAAATAACCTTCTATGTCTTAACAAAAAGCAATTGTTTTCTGCTTATTTACCTTCATTTAAGTTTCAACAAAGTACTAGTCTTAAGATTAAATATATATTAAACTTAACATAAAGTCAGTCAAATTCATAATTTCTTGCATATTTGTTAGCGAAATCTTAATATCGACTCACCCAAAAGTAAACACTTCATCATCAATTTATTAAAAGAATAAAATTGATGGAAAACGGGTTACATAGTAGCTAAACGCATGTCGCATAAGTGGCTTGACATGGCGTTAGAGAATTAAGTCCTTGATGTCTGTATTTGTGATGCCTGACATTCAATATTTGTCTTGATGCATTTTAGTTCATCTCATCACCCGATTAAAATTATATTAAGACCGATAAATCCATAATCAAACTAAATTTACGTATAAGTGACAGAGATATAATTCTGTTTTGTTGCTCATATTTCAAGCATATGTAGGTTCTCTTAATACTTGCCATCCGTAATCATTATTTTGGATAGCTCTCGGAAACTCATTATGATAATCAAAATCAATGTCAAAGAAACTAAATAAAATTGATTATCAGTTCAGAAACAAAATGATGGGTTCACACTCAGCATAGATTACTGATGGACTTCGATGGAAAATGTTTGCCAGACACATGGGATCGCAATTAACTGAATATAAAATTGCCATTTGTTTACACACTCCATCACTTGTCAGCTACAGAATGTTAAGTAAGTTCAAAGGATCGAGTGCTTTTAAACAGTTAGAATGGTTTGGAAAGAATAATGAAGGCCTAACATTTAGTACATTTATCCACAAAGCTATAGAGAATAATGTTGACGACAACTTCTATAGCAATACGTCATACTCCTACATTTTTATGAAGTGGTCAGCAATAGAAATAGCATTTTAAATTTTAAAGGTCATTTGAGAACGCAAGTGAAGACATAAACACTCTGCTATTAGATGAACTAAGTTCATTGTATGATTTCTAGTTCGAGGGACCCTACGTCAAAATAAATGTATATTGATCAGCACACACATAATGTGGATGCAAGTCGACACGTAGGGATCGGGACTTCCAAAACATATTTTCCATGTTAGGTTTCGACGACAAACACCATTTCTTCTTCGGAAAGACATTATTTCGACAGCATTTTACTGTTACAGCTCCTAAGACGATATATTTTCGAAAAAATGTGGATACAACTATCATCACTTCATAATTGGATGGTCTGTGGTCAGTGAATTCAGATATCGTATGTTACAAGTCGATGTGTTATTTTGGAAAAACAGTCTTGGATTTAACTACACACATGATGTAAGACACAACTTTGAATGGTTGGCATAGATATATCCTTCTGTAAATGCACGATTGTTAATAGTTTTAATAGGAGTAGATTATAACAAGATATTTACTGCATCTACCCGAAATCCTGAGATGTAGTTGTAAGACTTTCGTATTAACACGGTTAATGCTTAACTAAAGTTAGATCCTCAAATATTTTCTACAGTTGTACGAGTAATATTCTCATTTAGTTCTCAGATGTGGACGAAAAATCCACTAAATAACAAATACTTCTTATTCTCTCTAAACCATCCTATAGAATAAAATATCAAAAACTCTTAACTGATAAATCTATATTTGAAAATGTCAAATCTAAAATCTCTACACTCTATGCTTTTTATTCACAGATAACATTATCCCTGTCTTATCCGGCATACAATTCCCGCTCTGTCTCTTTATGTAGTCCCTAAACGGTGAGACTGTCCAATGTAAACGGTGTGATACTCACCTACAATGAAAAGTCAATGTATTGTTACTATCACTCTGACATATTATGGACGAAAACTGAGGATGCGAAAAATAAATCTATCTAACATTTTCCATGATATACACTAAAATACTGATTGCAGTAGTAGCGATTTATATCTTTCAGAAAATTCGATTCCCAAAGTTGACAACAAATACAAAAAATTAACGCCAACCACGAAAATATACGCTCTCAATGATCTTGGAAAATCCGGATATTAGAGTTTGTAACAAGATTGCACGCGATCTCCTGGATCCCATATCTGCCAACAACCCAAGGGACAGTTGCTCTCTAGTATATGATATGCTGGAGATCGACTGACAGGTCACGTATCTAAAAAAAACCCAGACGAATCAACTTCCACTTGCCATTAACATTTGATTGTTTTAGAGATTAAAAGCAATTAGTCCATTTTATAAATTTCGATAATGTAATAAGAAGACGGAGATTATCAGAACTATGTGATATATTAGCGCAATACATTTCGAACAATCTGATCACACATATACTTGTTAAGAGCATTTATACATAAAAATAAAAGTCAACTAGACTGGAAATGAGGTAAGAGGAGATAAGGATAATAATAATAATAATAATAATAATAATAATAATAATCTGAACACTGTTCAAAACCTAATCACTCTGGATAATAAGTCAATATTACCAGGGTAGGTTTAAGGTAAGAACAAACTGTTTTTGAATACATAAAGGGGGTTTGAATTTTTGTATGGCCTAATGGGACCATTTAAAACTAAGCACAACGTCTTACTACCAGGTCTTTCGTTCATCGTCAGACATTTACTTTTCTCAAAGACTGGGATAGCTGATCTGCACAGGACGAAACTAATAGATTGCCCCTGTCTTTAAAGGAAACAAATCCGTCTTTATTACAATTTCGTCAGATTGGTTAATCTAGGATATTGTAAAAATACAAGATATTCGTCTTAAGAACCTGATAGGAATGATCACATACTACCCTCGACCATCAGCAACGTTATCTAGAAGGAGACTTTCATTCGTAAAGAGCGTAAATGAATTAGAGAATTTAGCTTATTCCATAATACCAGACAGATTTTAAGTGTATGGTCATCTTTGATTACCATGTGAAATGATTACTTTTAAAAGAATCCTATAGTAAAAGCACCATTTAATCAATTATTCTAAATATTCGTAATCAACTGAAATCTGATACAGGCATAGTTTAACTATTAACATGATCATTTTGCTAGCCGTTAAACGTTTCAAAACACCGGTATCCAACTTCTTACACTAATTTATTACAATCAAGGGAAATTCGGCTTAGTCCACTCCACTTTGGCCCAATATTTGATGTTCTTAACCCAATAGAATTATGGTTTTAAATAAAAAAGAAACAGGGCGATACTATAAGCGTGTCCGTTGACACAGCATACGATGGACCTTATAATCCACTAGGAAGAAAACTTGGTTATTTTTGGGTGATTAATTCAGTAGGGAGTTAGCAGTGGCAGACTAAGTGATTGCTCGTGGTGGGTAAATGGAAGACATGCATTTGATCACTGTGAAGACGCTACTCATTAGTATTGGAACGGTCGGTCTTACGTCTGTCATTTTCCCTCAGACGAATAGGTGGTGAGCAACCATTTTCAGTTGTTTCCAGTTACTATTCACTCTTCCGATGGGTTCCTTGAACTTCTATTTTTCCGTATTTCCCCAGGATTCCAAGTTACGGCCTAATGGTTTCTGCAATGTATGCCTTATTCACTTCCAACATTTTTCCTAATTTCCTCTTCAACTGGAAGCTGGTTTGCTTTATCCCAGAGTAGGTCGTCGTTGATTTTATCTAGCCAAATGGAATCGACTACTCTGCATAGAAAATTGTTTATATGTATTTGCAAACATTTTAACATAGTTAAAGTGATTCCTCACGTTTCAGACCCGTACAGTAGAACCGTCTTGACGTTCGTACCAAAGATCCTGACCTTGGTGTTGGCTAACAGTTGTTTTGAGTTCCATTTGTTCTTCTGTTGTAATAAATGCCACACTTGCTTTGCCAGTTCTTGTCCTCATTTACGGATTCCAGACTCTACTTTCAGAG